GGAACTCTTTGCACCGTGCATTTCTGTGCTGCAAAGAAGAAATGCATCCTGCAAAGGAAACTGCAAATTGGCGGGAACTCTCTCCTGCACGCGGGTTCTCAATTGCAGCAGAACACTCTGCCGTGCAAAGGAGCTCTCATGTGGCCAGGAAATTCCATAGTGCCGAGGCACAAAAATCACTGGGTCGTGACAGACCTGATCATGGATCGTTCTGTGTGTACATGGTGTGCGTGTGTATGTGCACACGCGCTCACACATATTTCCAGTGATGATTTAGTCCTGAAATGGGACATCAAGGGCCCTGACTGACAGTAGTGCAGTGGGATCCCAAACAATCAAGCATCTCTAAATAACACACCTATATGGCAGGGCATGCATTCTTTGGGATCTGGGATCCAATTCCATGGATCCCATGGATCCCATGGTCGGGGGGAGGTGAGCACGCTAGCAGGGAGAGAGAGATTGCAGAAGGATCTGGATAGGTTACAGGGGTGGGCAGACAGGAACAGGATGCGTTTCAATACGGACAAGTGCAGGGTGCTGCACTTGGGTAGTAGGAACCAGCAGCACACTTATACGATGGGGAACTCCCTACTTGAGAGCACGGAGGCGGAAAGGGATCTTGGTGTCATTATTGACTCCAAGATGAACATGGGCCGACAATGCGAGGTCATGGTTGGCAGGGCTAACCGGACCTTGTCGTGCATCCACAGGTGCATCTCGAGTAGAGCCAGGGAGGTGATCCTCCCCCTCTATGCGACGCTGGTCAGGCCGCAGCTGGAGTATTGTGTCCAGTTCTGTGCGCCCCATTTCAGGAGGGATGTGGACAACATGGAGAGGGTCCAGAGGAGGGCCACCCGCATGATCCGGGGACAACAGGGCAGACCCTACAGTGAGAGACTGCGGGACCTGAACCTATTCAGCCTCCACAAGAGAAGGCTGAGGGGGGACCTGGTGACCGTCTATAAACTCACTAGGGGGAACCAGAAGGGTTTGGGGGAGACGCTGTTTCCCCTAGCCCCTGCTGGCATAACAAGGAATAATGGGCACAAGTTGATGGAGAGGAGGTACAGATTGGACATCCGAAAAAACTACTTCACAGTCAGGGCGGCTAGGAGCTGGAACCAACTTCCAAGGGAGGTGGTGCTGGCCCCTACCCTGGGGATCTTTAAGAAGAGGCTGGATACTTACCTGGCTGGACTCATTTGAGGCCCGTTTTTGTTTTTAGGGTGAGTGGTTTTGTTTGTGTTTTTGGGTTGTTCTCCCGCCCTGGCGGGGGGTCGGGCTAGAAGATCTATTAGGTCCCTTCCGACCCTGAAACTATGAAACTATGAAATCTATGAAATCCATTGTGCAGGGGGTAGCCCCAGGTCTGGGGGACAGCCACTCCCTGTCCCTTGAAAGGTGTGCAATGCAGCCTGCATGCTGTGATGTTTAAACCTGCATGGTTGCCCCATCAAGCAGGCAGAGAGCAGGCCCCCCAACCCCAGTGTGGAGTGCAGCTACCTCCTATGCCTTGAAAGGTGCAGCCCAGGCATCAGGGTATTTAAAGCTCCATGGTGCATTAAAAGAGGCTTAGATTTTATATTACATGCCTTTCAAGGAATAGGTGGTGGCTGTGATCTGGGCTTGGGGGCTGTCCCCAGATCTGGGACATGGCCGACTGGTAAGGGGCAGCCCCATGGTCTGGGATACAACTGCCCTCTGCCTCTTGAAAGGAGCACTGTGCAGCCCAGTTACATATATGCTTATGTGACTTTTGAACATATGAAGATGGAGCTCCAGATCTAGGAGCAGCTCCCCATCCTGCGTCTCTCCCCTCCTCCCCCCCACACATTCAAAGGGCACACATGCATCTGGGCTGTTCCTGGGTGTCAGGAGCCAGCCCTAGATTGGGGGAAGCAGCCTCCTGATCCAGGCTCCCACCCTGGAGTGTTCATGTCACCCATTCAAAATTTATGAGCAAAACGAACTAGTGTGGAACATCTTTGTGACTGGTTTGCCATTCTGTTGCATCATAAATTGCTTGCGTGTGTTGCATGTTGTAATTTACAGCATGATGAACATGTTCATCATGCCATAAATGTAACGTGATGGGGCCTAAGACCATTTCAGTTTCCCAATGCGGGGGAAAGGGGCCAAGAGGCTTCCCTGACTGACCAGAGAAATCCAGAGCAGCCTAAGGGCAAAAAGGGGGGCATATAAGCAGTGGAAATGGAGAGATTACTAAAGAGGAGTATACCTCCTCAGCTCACAGTTGTAGGGAGGCAGTTAGAAAGGCCAAAGCTACCATGGAGCTGAGGATGGCATCCCAAGTAAAGGATAACAAAAAATTGTTTTTCAGATCTATAGGGAGTAAAAGAAAGGCCCAGGGAGGAATAGGACTGCTACTAAATGGGCAAAAGCAATTGGTGACAGATAGCGGGGACTCCTCAATGAGTTCCTTGCCTCAGTATTCCTAAACATGGGGCAAGACAAGTCTCACAATGGGATTGTAGAGCGACAACAGCAGGGCACCAGATTACCAAGCGTTGACCCTGAGATGGTGCAGAGTCACTTGGAGGAACTGGATGCGTTTAAGTCGGCAGGCTCGGATGAACTCCATCCGAGGGTGCTGAAGGCACTGGCTGATGCCATTGCACCGCCACTGGCAAGGATATTTGAGCACTTGTGGCGCATGGGCCAGGGACTGGGGGGCTCGGAAA